ACAGCTGCGATGGCTTGGGCATGTGTTGCGAATGCCTCCAGAAAGGAAGGCTAAGCAACTGTTCCTTGCATATCCGACCGGCAGAAGGCCCAGAGGACGGTCAAGATTAACCTGGTGCAAACATGTGGAAGGAGTCTGTTCCAGACTCCATTTGTCTTTTGCCGATGCTCAGACTCCGGCGCAGGATCGGGAACGATGGAAGCTCTGTCTGACGTGTCTGCATCCGCGACCCGAAAGGAGAAGCGGCGATTGAAGATAGGATGATGATAACTGAATACTATTTCTTGGAAAGGAAATAAAAAAATGTATACAATGTATACTGTAGAAATTGCATTTTGGTACGTAAAGCAGTCTTAGCTCATGACATCATAGCGCAAAGCAGCGCTGTACTTTAACTCCATGAAAAAAGAGAGGCTGTAAATGATTTTAACAATAAATTAACGAGGGTCTCATATCTCAAGGGAATCGAATATGCGTTGTAATTTTTCCAGTCTTAGATTAATAAACAACAAGTCGAAATCTTGTAAATGTTCTAGTGGTGCTGAAACTAAGCTTACCCTTTTGCGAGGTTTCATATAAAGCTTCGCCCAGCTTCTTAGCTGCTGATTAATATACGCTCGACCGTCCAATTTTTTCCTGTATAATCTCTTACTTTGATCTGTTTTCTTGATGAGCAGCTGGATCTCGAAAATCAGGAAACATGTCGAATGTCTTTAATTGAATTATTATAAAACCAGTTCAGGTATTTGATGTTATGTGATTGAGTCATTAGTTAGAGGTGATTATCTGCTGTTTTATTTTTGCACTTTGCCAAAGAAGTAAAATTCAGGGTTGATGTGAATCGTGGAATTCGTGACCAGTCGGGAAACATTGAAAAGGTGATAAACATTTATGGGCCTCCTGAAAATACTTCCAAAGCGTGTATGAAAATTTTGGAAGTCGTTTTGCGAGAGAAAGCCAAAGAACCAGGATATCAGGGAAAAGAGTGAGTAATACTTTTGTATTTTTGTACAGAGGTATTTTGTAATCATTACTGTTGATTGCTTTCTATTTATGTTTCTAAAGGTAGAATATAAACGTTGTGAAACTGATGCTGATTCCGTCTTCAAGTGGCTAGTAAGAATGCATTCATATTGCGCGTCGATGTTGTCCACAACACTATTATTTTCGATAATCATGGTTTGAATGTATTGACAAAATATCTTTTCTTTGATCGAGACGTTAATCTTCTATCCAAGCATGCATGCTGCTCCCTACTTTTTTTGGGTTAGAGGACAACACCTTCAGGGAGTTTCTCCAATTGTTTCGTTTCGGTCCTCTGCCAATCAGACAGGCTCTGCGGATTTTCTTTGTAGAGCATGACAGTATGCAATGCTCAGCTTTCCGGAGCGACCTTGCCGCCAGCCTGCAATCTTACGAGCCTTTCCTGTAACATTTATCACGTATCCAAGCATTCACAGATATGATGTCTCGGTCAAACGAAAGAGAGCCTCAAAAGTGCTGAGATTTCTGGCGCTCCAACGTTCCGAAGCTTCTCCGTCATCGTCGCACTACCAGTCCTTGGAAAGAACCATATTTCCGCCTCTTATATTCAGGTTTGCACAGTCGATCTGTATTAACACCCCTGTTCTAACATGAGGGCAGATCTCTGGATCCATCTGGAGAGGATATTTCTGCACTACTGCTCAGCTCTTTCTTCATCATCACAGACTGATGCGTTCGTTTGATATGTTTCTGATACCCTAATTAGTAAATCAAGTTGATTTGTTCAGATCGTTTCAAGAAGGTACGCAAGAGCGATCGATCATGTTTGTTCTGGTTTCCCGTTTGCATGTTATTCAAATGTTCTCATTCTGTAGGCGTGAATTAGTCATATATGTCCCTAACACTGGAGTAACACGTTGCATCTCAATGCTTAAACGGACAAGCAGCACCCGAACTTGAACATCTGGGGGTGAGCACCATCTTAGCTATTAAAATTCAGTTTACCCGTTAAGACGGTGGTTAAATCTTTTTAGAAATGAACATCCAATCCAGTCGCCGTCCGTTGGTAAAGTACAGATGGCTGTAACCCAATGCCAAGTCTTTCTCTCAAGTTTTACTTTTAGTCGGCATATTCTTCGTTCTCGGATTGGCCGTAAAGGCATAAGGAGATCTCTCACTCTTTCATATGCTGTTAGCCTCTGGGTTTATACGAGGTCACGCCTGAGGAGAACGGATGCATCTATATTTTGTTCTGAGCTACGGCCTTAGTAATTTTTGCAATTTTCTAGTTTTGTATGACATGCCGAATAAATTTATCTACGCTGCTGAATGTCACAATGCGTGTATTGTCACCGTACAGCTAATGTTTGCCTCTTTATCGTATTCCTCCGCTCCATGCTCTTAATATTTGGTCACTTTTCAGCGTTGAGCCAGAAATGAAACTTAGAGCTCACAACAATCTTGTTGGTCGACTTATTGGCAAAGGCGGTGCGACGATCAAGAAGATCATGGAAGACACCAGCTGCACGATATTCGTCTCAAAGTGAGCCTAGTGTTTTTGCTATCTTTATCTTTTAATTTTATACTCTGAACTTTTTCATAGTTAAACCTGAAACTGTCTTTGACAGAACTGTATAGCTCTAGGATGCCTGAGGTATGCGTCTTGTGCACTTCCTTTGATACCTGTAGCTATACAGAATGAAACTGATTTATTGAATTGAGTTGAATTAAAAAGTCAAGAAATCTTATATGTACCTTTGCGCATCGATCATTAGGACTATATATGTAGAAACAAAATATTCTGATAAATATCATTTATACAACAGTGAAAGAACGAAACCAGCTTCTCAGTAAAAAGAATGCTTCTTTAGCAGTGCGAAGAGATACACGATTGTTTCCAGCAATTGAGCTTCTTTCCCTGTCCATAACATCAGATGTTATGGGATACTGAGAATTTATTAAATGCCTCGGTTCTAAATCAGACCGACTTGAAGTTGTTCCTTAAAGCAGCCGTTTTAGTTGAAAGTACTTTCTTGTGGCCCATGTTCTTTGATTGTTTTGTAACGAATGACGTGCAAACTGAATTGCATTGGTTCCATCATTCAGTACAATGAGCAGTGAATTTAGAAATCGATCGAGACATATGGTGAATTGCATAATATGCGATCAGAGCATGCCCATCGTGTTAAAGGGAATGGTATGCAGAACGATGGTAATACCGGATGTTTGGAATGATTTGGCTGCTCTGAAAAACATGAGCCATATCTGAACTCCATAGAAATACGAATGCTCATAGGAATGTGTGGTGCCAGCAAAACGGACCACTTCTGAAATACTTCATACGAGCACTTTATGTGTAGCAGTAAGTAAGCAAAGCTTATCGAAAGCAAGCGCCATTGGTGTAATCATGTGAAATGAAGATTCGACGAGTATGTTTAAAATGTGGTTACAAGTACAAATTCTACCAGTGAAAAAAAGTATGGGAAGACGAAGGAAATGTTGGCTTGATGTCGTGAAGAACGATATGAAACTGCGAGGAGTGAACGAAGATTTAACCAACGAAAGAGAAATGTTCAGGCAGTTCGCTGGGACAGCGACCCCTGTTAAAATGAACAAGCTAGGAAAAAGATAAAGATGTTGTGCACACCGGAATTGAGTTAAACCTAAAGAGATCTGCTTATGATTTCGTTTGCTTTCTTGCTTACTGTTGTAGTGCTGAACGAAAATTATTGCATTAATCTGATTAAATTTAAGATTGAAAATAATTCTTCGTAAGGTTTCTGATTCTGGGTACGTAGTTATAATACATAGTTGTTTGAATGATTCATAGTTCAGGGCGCCAAATACATCAGGTGGTCAACCGTTTAATGCCAACGCGTTTCCCTGTACAGACCGCATCATCATTAGTGCTTGAATTTGAGATTATCAAACGATCAGCAAGGTAGTAGGCGAGTCGAAAATACTTTTCATATGTAATCCAGACATGTTACTTGTGTTTTGCTCATATGATGGCCATTTAAAAATTTTACATAGAGTGAACAGTGTATCATGCCGATGCACCGTTAAAATGACCAAAGAGAAGATCAGTGATCGCGGAAAATTGATTGTGGTTAGCGAAAAGTCATTGCTTGGGTACTTTGATATGTTAATGTTATTAAAACGGAAGCAGCTATTTGTTACGTTATGATTAACATGACACTGAAAAGTAAATCTCTTCCCAAATTTTTTTAAAATTGCAGGCGAAGTTGCCTGCTATTTAAGAGACAGTTTTCTGTATAAGATAAAAGAATGGAGTATGAATAATCATGAAGAGGAAGGTTCTTATGTTTAAGTAGTTTTAGGTGAAACTGGGTTGTAGATTGTGTTAGAGTCGACGTTTCAGGTGATCATGACCTTACTCAAGAACTCGTAACATTTACCGTCTTTTTTGGGTCGGTAGCGGTTTAAGTAAAAGACTGGTTCCTTGTCATTGAATGTCAGCATTAATTTCCGCCACGGACTACTGATATATTGGAGGACTTATTCAAGTGTGCTAAATTTTGGGCGGAAGAGTGTCTATGATCCAAAGAAACAACAAGCAGTGCAGTTTTCCGTTACTTCCTCTTTAAGACTTGTTTTGGGTAGACGACTCCATTCTTTTTTCTAGCGGGTTCCCTTTAACAGTCATTGGTTGCTCAAGTCAGTCGGTTTCATGCCCTTCAGTCTAGTAAAGTAATCGGTCACTCCTCGCAGTTTCATATCGTCCTTTATGACACTGTGCCGCCCTTTCTTTGGTCTTCCTTTTCTTTTTATGCTTGACAGTATCAGAGCATAGAGCACATTTCCATCAGATCATTTTTTCACATGGCAAAACAGCAGAGCTTGCTTTCGATCAAGTTTTCTGAAATTGTTGATACCGCTAAAGTGCTTATGATAGAGGGCTCCTTTAAGTTATGTCCATGCGTTTTGTAATTAGCGTCTCCAAAATTTCTAAAGAATCAGGAACATTGTATCACTTTGACCATAGATTCTCAGGATGCCATTTAAGCCGACCGCGGTTCGTTACTTGAGCACATTTAATGCTAGACGCATCTCGCGTTTGGTCATCAACTTTGTCACTGCTGACACTTTGCTTGTGCTTGCTATCCGCTGTATGTGTTTTCGTGTGTTTTATCGACTTCTTTCGTAGTATAAACGAATTGAACATGTTTAACATGGAACGAACGATTACCGTTCGCGGACCGTTGGAAAACGTAGCGCATGCTGAACAAAAGATCTCATCCAAGTTGCGACAATGTTGGGAGAACGATATGTTAAGCGCGGTAGGGCATTATTTTACTTTGTTTTAGTACTGTATTTGTTAAACGTTTTTGAACGTTTTCTCATGTTGATTGTTTTTTAATGATTGCATCGTCATTAGTTGATCGATAGTAAGACTGTTGCTTGAATGACCCTTATCCTTTGGCGATGACAGTCTCATACTGACCGGTTAATCTCCTGGCCCGATCATCACCATATTGTTCATCTTATTATTCCGTTCTTCGTTGTTGTTCAGGACTTCATAAAAAAATATCTACGGTTCTTCCGCATACCTTGGGCAATAGTATATTTGTTACCGCCGATGGCGACTATGAAACAGAAAATACCGTTGCACAACATGGTACAAGTCGAGTGTTTAGCAGGTGATGAACCGTTGACAAACGTTTCAGTCCCTTCTACAACCTTGCAATGTTGACATGACGTATGGTTACTTAGTATTAGACGCACATCCCGAATGAATCTAGCGATCATCAATTTATCTTTAACACAGC